TCTTTGAAGATGCTTCTTTCGTCTTCGCCTCATCTTCCTTCTGTGAAGATACTTCTTTCGTCTTATCTTCATCCAACTTTGACGAAGGAGGGGGAACAGGTTTTTCTTTTACAGGAGAGCGAAATCGTTCTGTTGATCTTTGCCCGAGATTGGAGAGAATGAGATTATCATCATCATCAGATGAATCCTCCACAATTACTGGATTCTTGGATGGAACAGGTGGTGTTTGGGTAGATCTTTCGTCTAGAGGCTCTTTTGCTGACTTTGGTGGAGTAGATGTCGGTTGCTCTTCAGGGACCGCTTTCGTCTTTACATGAGACGAACTCTTTTCTGTCTTCCTTCGTTTGGGCTTCAGTTGGTCTTCTTCTGTATCCTTCGCCTCTTTTTAGACTTTTGTTTGGATTTGACAAGTTCCAAAGGTATTTCCAATTCCAGAGCTTTTTGCTTGTCATAACCCGTGGGTTTGTACTTCATGTGGCATGCCTTCTGGCCAGGTCATCTTCCTCCTCTGAGAGGGACATTCTTTGTGGTAAGGAGATGACTTACCATAAATCCGAACCCCATCTTCTTTGAAATATTGCCAGGGGATGTTCTTTGATATGTGATGACATGGATGAGATTGTTGAAGATGACCTTTGACCAATCCACCTTGTGTTCATTGAGAAATGCGTGCAGCATTTTTAGCTTATCTTTGGTTACGTCGTCTGTGCCCGACGTCTTGTGCTCAACGATCTTGTTGAAGATATCCACTGTGAACTCATAGTCCAGGCGGAACCATTTCTTCTTTAAGGGCCATGTGATTACACTGGGACCTTGCTTGTTCTTGATGAAACGGTAGAAGTCATTCTGATCATAATGGTAGAAGGCGAAGCTTGGTTTGTATGAATCATCTCGCTGAGGAAAATCATAGGCTGCTCGAATGTCCTCCGATGTAATTGTCACATCCGTTTGGTTGACCCTTGAAGATATGGTGAGTCCATTCGCAGACACACTTGCATTCAGATAGAACTGAGTAACCTCTATGGGAAACCAAAACGTATAGATAGAGCCGTCAAAATGGGCTTAGCCCGCCGGGCTTTCCCGCCCCGCCCGTCAAAAGGGCGGGGTGGGCTCGTCTTTTTGAAGCCCGTTTTAAAAATGGGCTTTTTTGCCCGCCCCGCCTATCCCGCGGGCTTGGCGGGGCGGGCTAGCCCGCCAGCCCGCCTCTTTTTTTTTTTAAAAAAAAAAAAGAAAAAACATAATCCTAATCGGCTAAGGGCCTAACTACCTAAGGCTAAATCCTAATTCCACCATTCCTCAAGTCAAATGTTGTTAATCTTGTTGATGACAATGATGAAAATGAAGATGAAGGTGTAGAAGATATGAATGTTTGAATGATGTAATTGACTTATGATTTATGAATTTATGAACTTATGTAGTTAAGTATTTATGTTTTGTAATTTTTAACTCTCTATGAGACTATGACTCTATTATGTTGAATTTTTATGTGTTGGACTATTGGTGATTTGGTGTTTATGAACTAATTTATGTTGTTTTAACTAGTTTGCTAAATGTTAGGACTTAGGGACACATCACAATTCACACAATCACACATTCACACATGCTGTAAAAAAAAAAAAAAGGCGGGCTTGGCGGGGGCTCGCGGGCCTAAGGGGGGGCGGGGCGGGCTGCCCCTCCATAGGCCCGTATTCTTGGCGGGCTTTGGCGGGCCCCGCACCGCCAGCCCGCATTGACAGCTCTACGTATAGAGATGAACTGCAAACCTGTACAAACCAGTTTCTTGTAGAAGAGCGATAACTTTATCACCAAAGATTCTATCGATGACATATTCTAAGAACCCATGTGCATCCCACATACTTCCACTAGCTATGAAGTCAGTCTGCGATTCAATGAAGTGAACATCGTCTGTTGGGAAGGTGGGTACCTCCATTGTGGATGGTTCTTCAGGTTCGACATCAGAGGGTGTGGTTTTGGAGTTCTTAGCCATTTGAGAGAAGATGGAGATGATTTTGGTGAGAAGATGAATTTGAGAGTGAAGATGAGAGAAAAGGATGAAAGATGGTATAGGGCTTGTTTATATAGGGTTGACGAGGTTCTAGGGTATGGGGAAAAACGGGTGACCCATGTGAATTGTGGATGGTTTGAATTTCGAAATTCAATCGGTTCCAATTCCACTAAAAGGGTAACTGATCTGGTGATAAAAATCTGATAAGATCAATTGCAGATCAATTTCGATCATTCCTCATTAAAGAGGAGAGAGAAAACCACTTGAGTACCCGTATGTGCATTAAATGCGGGTCAGATCAATCTGACAGAGATTATGGGGTAGTGGACCGGTTTTCTCGGCCACACGATGCCCACTGAGAATGTACATTACCGATTTAGATGAGCTAGATAAGATGTATCTTCTTGAGCACGCTTCACATTCGAAACATAACATATTTTTACTTCACATGGAGAGACGAGTTCAAGAAACAAATAAAGTTTCGTGAACTCAAACAGAACATACAACGAAAGTACATGACACAGCCCGAGAGATGATTATTACACGAAACATAGATATTAGACACTTGACAGCATCTCTCATGATTCAAACTGCACGATCTTTCATTCTTCGTCATTCTTCTTCTTTTGGGCTTTTTCAGCATTTTCCTTCTTGATGATCTTGAGAGCGAACATTTCATCCACGATCTTCTCGTGATCAGTTCCCATAGAATCCCTGGAGAGTCCTCTATTTTCCATGGCATCCATTTCAGCCTTGACTCTTGCTTGAGCTGCAGCGTATAGTGCTGTGTATTTCTCCTCAGTTTTGAGCTGAGGTGCTAGTTCCACAAGAGTGTAAAACCGAGAGGGGCTCGAGACTTTGGCAAATCCTTCCCCAGAGGATGATCCTTCTTTTTGAGAATTGTTGAGTTCATGAGATGGGTTGATCGCAAAACGTACTTTCTTTGTCATATCCTTGTTTGGAAAGCACATTTTCTTCCCTTTGTCCATGACGATAGGTAGAACTCCGAACTTGATGGATTGTGAGATGAGTGATTCAATTTCGCACAAGATTTCCCTTCTTATAGAAGATGAGTCCATCAAAAGGCGTTGCCATGAATGACCAGTCACTGAGATAAGTTTCACGCTTCATCGAGAGTAGAGGGAATATTATCATTTCCAAGAGAGTACGGCTTGGTCAGAGATATTCGTTTAGGAACAAGATTCGTGAATGCAAACAAAACAAATAAAGTTTCGTTCAGCATTTATGTAAACTCGGGTAAGAACCATTAAAAACCGACATAATATTATTTCTTAGAAGGGAAGATTGATACAAGATAGGAAATATAAAAACTTAGATCAACTTCTCTTCCTTCCTTCTTTTTCAAGCTCACTTGGCTCGGCTTTTGGCTTCTTAAGTTCTCCCCACATCTTTTTGTACCACTTCCCAGTCCTTAGGAAATTGGAATCAGAAGACGAAGCAGGTCCATCTTCGTTCGAGTTTGGCTCAGTCTTAGGTTGTTCCTTCAGATAATTAAAGTAGTCTTTTTCAATGTATTGGTTGGGCAGATCAGTAGGGATTTCCTTTTTTGGAGGATCTTATACTGGGGGAGTTTCTTCAGGTTCCTCAACATGTAGGCCGCCATTTCATCATATTGAGATGATTCGTTGTCAGAAGAGACTTCCAAAGGAGCTTGAAGATTGTTTCCAGGGTAGAGGTCTCCTTGCTCTTCCCTAATTTTCCAAGCAATTTCTCTTTGCTTTTGAGAATCTCCTCTAGTAAAGGGCTTTTTAGGATACATATTGGAGATTGAGATGGTAGAATAGAGAAGGATAGGTCCTCTTTTTATAGTCGCAATGAGCAGAGGTGTTGATGCGAAACTGCATGCAGCATTCAATGCTGTAATTAATAGCCATAAATTTCTTCAACTAACCATTAATTCCGTAAAGGACTTTGACTAGATATTTTCAAGAAGATGATGATTCCAAGGTCAGAGAATAGATTCCAAAGCGTACAGATAACAGATAATTGTCATTTCAGATGGAAGCCTATGCATTCATTATCAGAATTGAAACTTTAAGAAATGGTGCATATGTAATAATTCCATCTTTGATCAGATAAGAGATATTCTGACATAATAGAAACATGGTCAAGAAGACAATCAGTAACGGCAAATAAGAACAGAGAATTGCATTACACGAGATCAGGAGGAGGAACCCAAGCCTTACAGATAATAATAAACAACATTTAAAGAAAACGATAAGCCATGTGAAGCTCCAGACGAGTCGACTCATCAGTCACATCTAGCAAGTTTGCCATGTTTGCATATTCGTCCAGTTCCTCTAACGAGAGGGTGGGCATCGTCGAGTTGATTGGTGACTGAGAGTGAACTAGAGTGTAATCCTCATAGGATTTCTCGCTCTTTTGTGGAGCTTCAGGAATGGGATACCAACGAAAGGTGGGTGGATGGGATGAGTGCTTGTTTGCACTTTCCAAAACCATTATCCTTTCGTTTGCCAAACGTTTGGCTTGTTCCAGATAAAAAGCTTTCTTGGCCTGAGATTCGTTGACAGTGTTGTCAAGAATCTCTTTTTCTTTCAGGGTAGCCGAGCTTGGCAGGGAGTATGTTACGTTGACCCTATCACCATCTTCTTTTAGTTTTATGATTGTGGCATTTGTGAGTTTGCTTGCTTCCAAAAGATGGTGATCACGCCGAAGAGCTCGTTTCTCAGCTTCGTCCATCTTTCCTTTGCCCTTATCCATACCTGCAAATGTTACTCACTAAAATACTAGATTTGTGAGAAAAGTTCGTTGAAGGAGGTTCTGATTTATAGGTGCAAAGATTGCCTGTAGATATGTTCAAAAGATTTTAGAAGACAGTACTAGATTTCGTGTTAAAGACTCAATCAGAAAATTCAAGGCATTGGATATTAATAATAAGACTAGACCATAGAAACACGAAATTTATTTAAGATAAACGTAACCACAGCTTATCAAGGTGACCTAAGATGATTCGTTAGGTCTTTTTCTTCTTGCTGCTAGCTGTGGACCTGAGAGGGGAGGGCATTTTTGGAGGAGTGCTTGATGGTGAGTAGTCGAAACTGTCACTGCTTTCTAGCACACTATCTACCTTGGCATATCCTATGGTGTTCCCAACAGAGTGAAATGATTCATGTGACTCATGTTCCGTTGGATCACGAAGGAGATTTTGCAGATATTGTGAGCTTGCTAGAAATTGGTTTAGGACGCCCTCGTCTTCAAGGGGATCATGAAAGATTTCAGTTTCTTCTTGTTTCTTCTCTGTGATTGTCGTTTTTGCTTCATTTTCTGTGCTCATACCTGTAATCATAGATTAATCAAACAGAATTAATTAGAATAAAAGGTTAGGGTGAATTCATTGTACCATCCCTTGTCCGTTTATATAGCTCGAGATTTATTGCGTGACATAATGGATAAGTTGCTGCCTTTTTGGCTTCCCGAGATATGCTTTATGGAATCTTTTCAGGAATCTCAGGGCTTTTGGATTTCTCAACACGCCAACGAGTTATGTCAGCTCAATCATTCCAATTTCATGTCGAAGTGTAGCAAATCTATTCTCACATAGGTTTTGTGAGTATATCTGCCAATTGATCATCAGTGTTAACATATACGAGAGATATGTTCTTCTTCTCAACATGATCACGAATGAAGTGATACTAGATATCAATATGTTTTGTGCGAGAGTGCAAAACAGGATTGTGCGTGATTGCAATTACACTTGTATTGTCACACTTAATTTGCACTTCTCGTGCTGTTACTCCATAATCTTTTAACTGGTGGATCATCCATAATATCTGTGCACAGCAGCTGCCGGCTGCAATGTATTTGGCTTCAGCAGTGCTAGTTGCAATAAAATTTTGCTTTTTGCTGAACCAAGACACAAGTTTTCCCCCTAGGAACTGGCAGGTTCCTGAGGTACTACCAGCAAAATCAGCATCTGAATAGCCAACAAGATCAAAAGAGTTTCCTTTCGGGTACCAAGGTCCTACACTTTGGGTTCCCTTTAGGTATCTTAAGATTTTCTTAGCAGCACTTAGATGACTATCCTTCGGTTTGGATTGAAATCGTGCACATACGCCAACTGCAAAGGAGATATCGGGCCTGCTGGCTGTAAGATAGAGAAGCGATCCAATGATTCCACGAAAGTTCTTTTGATCAACATCTTTTACCTCATTATCAACATCCATTCTCAGGGATTTGCTCATAGGGATTTTAACTGAGGACTTTCCATCAATTCCAAATTTGCGAATTAAGTCCTTTGTATATTTAGCTTGATTGATGAATATTCCTTCCGGACATTGCTTAACTTGCAAGCCGAGAAAGTAGTTCAATTCTCCCATCATGCTCATCTCAAATTTGCCTTGCATAAGGTTGGAGAATTTTCCACATAAATCTGGATTTGTACTTCCAAATATAATATCATCAACATAAATTTGAACTAGTAGGATATTGTTGGTCCCGATAGGGTGGTGAAAGTCTAAAGGGGGGGGGGGGGTGAATAGACTTTCAAGCTTTTTCGAAATAAATAACTCTTTGATAACTTCAACTCTAAGTAACAAGTAAATAGAGTAAGTTTAAACTGCACAGCGGAATAAGTAGTATGTAAAGAGTTATGCCCAATCAATAATTTAAATACGCATGAAAGATAGGTACATATGATATTTAAAGTGACAGAGATATCTTGAATATATAAAGGAGATGGTTCACTCAATATGTAATAACAATATTCAAGAATGTAAATAAATATCGTATCACGTCGACCGTGTAGCGAATGTTACATGCAACACGTTAAACTTGCTTAGAAAGATTCAATATTTAAGCTCGAGAAGTTTGAGTCTCATGCATACGTGAAAACACACTAAACCCGAAAGATTAAGATAAACTATGAATAGTAAACGGGTTAGTCGGATAAGATAGATAGATAGAGCAAATTATGTAAGTGCGGTATGTAAATGAGAGAGGCAATTTATAGTGGTTCGGAAGTGGCGTAATCTTCCTAGTCCACTTTTCTCCTTTCGCGTCTAGGAGAAATTCACTATTTTCTACACACAGTTACAATAGTGAATAAGCGCTACACAAGCACTTCTTCCGGATGTTTTGCACACAGCTACACCCAACTCCAAGTGTCTCGCACACAGCTACACTTAACTCCGAGTATTTCGCACACAGCTATACTCAACGCCAACTAAGTGTCTTGCACACAGCTACACTTGGCAACTACGAGTGTTTTGCACACAGCTACACTCACTAGAGTATTTTGCACACAACTATACTCTTTTTACAATTACAAATACAAAGGTAATTGTATCTCTCTCCAACTAGATTTCTGAGACTATTCAGACCAAGTCTCTAAGAATATTTGAGCACTTGCACTTTTAAATTTTTGTGTGTATTGCACTTCTATCTCGTGTCTATCTTGTGCACCTTTTCTTTTTTCACCGCTTCTGTGTCTTCAAGTCTTCATGGCTTTTTATAGGCAATCAAATATATCCGTTGGAGTGGGATAATTTGATATTTGAAATTTGAATCTTCATAGCCTGATATTGTTGACAATAGTAGGTCTTCAATTTTGATTTGATTGTCAACTTGCCTGACAAATAATATTTTATCACAACTTGATTTTCTAGTTGTTTCTTAAAATATTATTTTTCTTGTTATTTTGAATATCTAACGTATCTTTGAAATAAATTCATCTGATGGAATTTATTTCTAGGATAAGTTTTTATATTCATGTCTTCATAAATATTTTTCCGTTCTGATCAAATGTCTTTCAGGCAATTTTGGATTCTTGTAGCATGTGGGTAGACTTAGAATAAATTCCTTCGAATTTACCCAATTTCTGATCATCTTGCTTCTTTGCCACATTGTGCTCCTTTGACTTGAACATTGTGCTTTTCTGATTTGGTCACATTGTGCTCCTTTGGACACATCGTGTTGGTTCACATTGTGCTCCTTAGCACACATTGTGCTTGTCAGCATCGTGCTCTTTTTAATACATTGTGCTCCTTCAGTAGCATTGTGCTCCTTGGCACATTGTGCTTGTCCGAAAACTTGACTTGTAAAAATAAGTCCTTGGGGGGAATCGATCTCAGGTGTGATCGTTTTAAGTAAAGACTTCTACCATTTCGCCGTTAGGCTCATCCAATCATTCTTTGCAATGTCATTCCTTTATGCTTCTTTCTCGGATGAATACTCGTAGGACCAAAATTAATTTCTCAAATTAATTTTGTTCTTCCTATGGTAGATTCCTTTTGACTCGATATTCTGATTTATGATGCTTGTACTAAAAGACCTAAAAACTAAGGGGATCTAAAGTACATTTGGCTCATCAAAACTTACAAAAAATATTCCTATCAGATATGATCATTGTTTTTTATGCGAAAGAACATTTTATCAACGGCTCCTTTCGTGAAACCACAGTTGATAAGAAAATATGAGAGTGTATCATACCAAGCTCGTGGAGCTTGTTTTAATCCATATAGGGCCTTTTTGAGATGATAGACTTTTTCTTGTCCACAATCAATAGCAAAACCTGGTGGTTGCTCGACATATACTTCTTCTTCAAGAAGTCCATTTAAGAATGCACTTTTGACGTCCATTTGATAGACTTTGAAATCTTTGTATGCTGCATATGCTAGAAACATTCGTATGGCTTCAAGTCTAGCTACGGGGGCGAAGGTTTCATAAAAATCAATTCCTTCTTCTTGACAGTAGTAGCAACAAGCCGAGCTTTGTTCCTAACAATGAGTCCATCTTCGCTCATTTTGTTTCTAAAGACCCATTTTGTTCCAATGACATTTTGATGTGTTGGTCTCGAAACAAGTTCCCATACATTATTTCGCTAAAATTGATGAAGCTCTTCTTGCATGGCTATCACCCAGTCAGGATCACTTAGAGATTCTTCTATGGATTTTGGCTCTATTTGAGATAGGAAACATGCCATCATATTCTCATGAACGTTAGCCCGAGTTCTTACACCTTCTTGGATATTTCCTATGACTTGATCAGGAGGGTGATCTCTTAACCATCTAAGATCGGGTTCAAACAAACTTTGCTGATTTTGTACGTCCATCTCAGGAATATAGGGTAGCTCAACGTAAATCATAGGTTCAGATGTTGCTTGGATATTAAGAGTATTCTGTTGCATGCTATCGTCTTCTTGAGTTAAAGCTTCGGGTTCAGATGGTTTCAACTGATATCTCGTGTAGGAGGATAGAATATCTTCATCATCTGAAATTTCTCCTTTATTTGGTTCTTGAGAGCTTTGATTCGGATTGATAGATGATTTAATGCCAATAGGATTTTTCTCAGATTTCTCGTCGAACTTGACATGTATAGATTCCTCGATGACCATTGTTCTTTTGTTCAGAATTTTGAAAGCCTTACTTACTGAGGAATAGCCCATGAATAATCCTTCGTCCGCTCTTTCGTCGAAAGCTTTCAGATGGTTCTTCCCATTGTTGTGAATGAAACACCTGCAACCAAGAACATGAAAATAACCAACACTAGGTGTCTTACCTTTCCATAGTTCGTATGGAGTTTTGTTGTGTGACTTGTTGATCAAGGATCGGTTCTGTGTGTAGCATGCTGTGTTTACAGCTTCGGCCCAAAACCGCTTTGGTAAGCCCGAATATGCAATCATTGTTCGTGCAGCTTCTTTCAAAGTTCCGTTCCTTCTTTCGGCTACTCCGTTTTGTTGAGGAGTTCGTGTTGCCGATAATTGATGAAAGATGCCGTTTTGTCCACAGAAATCTTTGATATCTTTGTTGACGAATTCAGTTCCTTGATCTGATCTAATTGGGATAATCTTGACTTCCTTTTCTGTTTGAAGCTGTCTCAAGAGGTTTGGTTGAACGATTTTTGTTTCATTCTTTTTCTTCAAGAAGAGTACCCAGGTATATCTCGTGTGATCATCTACTACAACAAGAGTATTGTTAGGAATATATTGTAAATTTTGATGAGCCGAATGTATTTTTGAAAAATCAAGTAGTCCCCATTTTTATTCTATTTGAGTCAGTTTAAGTCTACGGAGTATGGTGCACCCATATCATGCAACCCATGTTCAAGTCTGGAAAATCACATGTTGATTTTAAATGTTAAGCGGGATTATAGCTTAACATAATTATGATGCGGATAAGTCACCAAGAACCATGCTAGAGGAGTTGGAAGAAATGCATGTGAGCTATGCTAAATGATCCTAAGTTCGAATCTCAAGTGAAGTATTTTTAACTTTCTTGGGAGACTAGCTGGACCGTATGAGAGACTAGCTTGGACCGTATGAGAGACTAACCTCCACCGTATGGGAGACTAGCCAAACCGTATGGGAGACCAGCTCAAGTATATTGCACCGTATGGGAGACTAGCTCAAGTATATTGGATCGTATGGGAGACTAGGTCTAGTGTATTGGAGACTAGCTAAATGGAGACTACGGAGACTAGGTCTAGAGTATTGGAGACTAGCTGAGAGACTAGCTAAAGCTTGGAGATTAGCTAGACTAGCTAACATGGAGACTAGCCAATATGGAGACTAAGTAAGGTAAATGCACAAGTCTCACAAAAGCCATGCACCAGATGAAGAAACACACCAAGTATGGTGGACCAAGCTTAAATTCGAAACAGAGCATCTCACCATGAACAACTATGAAGTTTTTACAGAGGTTCCAGTATATTATTTTACAAGGATCATGAAGGAGAAAATATCTGATATATTTTCATCTGAATATCAAAGTTTTTACGGTGGAACCGGAGACGCTCGAAGAAGGCTGATTCGCGGAGAAATTATTTTATACACAAGCAAGAATAAATTATTTGATCAACTTGACATGTCAGAGCATTTATGAAGGACAAGAAATATCAAGCTTGCCGTGCCGAACTTATTCAAATTTTGGAGGCTACAAAATTCAGGACACTGCAACGGGCAAATTATTCAAATCATCTGACAAAAGGAGAAATGACATCTACCTAATATTTCAGATCAAGTTGACAATATCATTTGATCAACTACAATTCAAAATGGACGAACGAGATCGAAAGTTGATCAACGGGCAAATAGCTTTCATTGGCTATAAATTGCCCAAGCAGACTTGAAGACAAATACAAAAATTACGAACAAGAGCAGTATACAAACTCAAAGAATATCCAATCAATCATCAAGTGATATATTGAGCTATACACGATTAAATTCAAGTCTGAGTGAGAGAAAAATTTTATCTCTTTGTAGATTACTCTACTGAGTGTAGAAAGAGGGCGAAGTAACTAGAGAGAGTGAAAAACCCTGGTTGAGTATAGCTTTGTGCGTAGCACTCGGTGTAAAGGGCAGAGTAACAAGAGGAGCTTGTGA